TCTGGATAAAGACATAGGGAATTTCTTTGTGTCTTAACTTTTCTATAATTTTGAAATTACATCACCAAGTTTTAAAAATGATTAATTGACCATTTAAGGTTATTTCCTTTCCCTCCTAAATTTGCTAAAATGACATAAAAAATAATAATGGCATTAACCTTTAACGGTAAAGAGAGAGAGCAAGGATATAATAGTAAGATGACATATTTCAGTGGAAATATCTTCTCAAAAATGGAAAGTGGATAGAGGGTTGGTAACTAATTTATCAGAATAGGAAAAAATTTTTAACTTAAGTTTCTGCGGTGGAGGATACATCTAGAATTGAGCTAATTCATTTGAGAGGCTCAAACCTTAGAAGGTAACAGGTACCACAGAAGATGGGAGTAAAGAATAGGTCTGAGAACAGGAAGGTGGTCACTGAAACTGTCCACAAAGCATGTGGCACAACCAGGCAAACTACCATGCCCCAACAAGAAGAGAAAATATCTTTCTGTCCAGCAATCTCACTTCTGGCTGTATATCCAAAGGCAATGAAAGCAAGATCTTGAAGAGATATCCTCACTGTTCTGTTTGTTGCAGCATTATTCACAATAGGCAAGATATGGACACCTAAGTGTCTATCAATGGATGAACGGATAAAGAAGATGTGGTATTATATACAATGGAATATCATTCAGTCATGAGAAAGAAGGAAATGCTGCCATTTGCAACAACATGGATGAACCTTGAAGGCAATATGCGAAGCAAGAGAACTCAGATGGAAAAAGACAAATACTGTATAATCTCACTTATATGTGGAATCTAAAAAAGTGGAACTCAGAAACAGCATAGAATGGTGGTTGGGGCTGGGGTTGGGAGGAATGAGATGTTGGCCAAAGGGTACAAACTTCCAGTTAGAAGATGAAGTTCTGGAGATCTAATATATACAGCATGGTGATTACAGGTAATTATACTGTATAATATACTTGAGAGGTACTAAGAGAGTAGATCTTAAATGTTCTTACCACAAAAAAGAAATGGTAATTATGTGACATGATGGAGGTGTCAGAGCTAATGCTATGGTGGTTATCATTTTGTAAGTGTATCAAATCAACATATCACACACCTTAAACTTATGCAATGTTATATGTCAATTATATATCTATAAAACTGGGGGAAGAAAGAAAGACTCCTTTGGAGGGACTGTATCTAGGAGGCACTGCACTCCTAGACAGGATTTACGGTGTGGGCTGGCATATAATGCAGGACCAAACTCCTGTCTTGGTCCCAGTATGCTAGCAGACAAGCATATAACCAGTCCCCAGAGAAGAAATTATAGTTTTTCTCTGGAGAAAATGTAGAGATTCAGAGGAAAGCTCCCGGTGAAGTCCACAATGGATAACTACTCCTCCCTAGGCTTCTAGTCAGTTTTTTAGTTCCTCACTCTTAAATTATAAAGGAGAGCCAAAGACCAACAGGTATTTGACAACAGCTATCAATGAGAGAAAAACACAGACTAAAATAAACTCATAGGAAAAAAGGGTCCAGAGGGAAAAAAGCTAATGCAGGAAACAACAGAATTTCAAATAAAGTATAATACCCCTGAAGAAAAAAGAGATCTGGAAAAGGAAAACCAGAAGACTAAAAATGGCCCTTGGAAATTAAAAATACAGTAAGCAAAATAAAATGGTGTGATACAAAGGTGTGGGGTCCACCGTATGTCCACAGCTTCTTTCTTATTACTCCTCCCCTTGAGTGTGGGTTGGATTTAGTGATTCTCTTCTAATAAACAGAATAAGGTGGAAGTGACAGTCACTTCTGAGAGTAGGTCATAAAAAGGCATTGTGGTTTCCTTCCTCCTTTCTCTCTCTCTCTGATCACTTTGCTCTGAGGAAAGTTAGCTGCCATGTGAGAACACTCAAGCAGCTGAAGGGGAGGCCTATCTGGTGAGAAACTGAGGTGTCTTGTCAATGGCCAGAGAGGAGCCTAGGCCTCCAGCCACCAGATGACTGCAGCCCCTGCTGACATCCTCTCTGCAACCACAAGAGAAACCCCAGCCAGAACCCCCAGCCAGACTGCTCCTGGATTTCTGATTCACAGAAACTATAAGGTAATACATGTTTGTTGTTTTAAGCATCTATGTTTTAGGGTAATTTGTTACACAGATAATTAACACAGAAGGTTGGAAGATAAAATTGAGGAATCTTCCAAAGAGTAAACTTTGCAAAACACAAAGAAAATATAGGAGAAAATTAGTAAGTTGGTGGATCAGTTCAGGAGGTTTTAGAGGTGACACATGGAAGTTCCATAAAGAGAGGAGAGAGAAAATAGAGAATAAATTAACAAAGAAATAATAAAGGAAAATTTGTTAGAAATGAAAAGCATTGATTTCCAGATTGAAAAAAGACTCATGGAATGTCTATCACAGTCAGTGAAAAAGGACCTACAGCAAGTTCCAACATTATGAAATTTCAGAACATTAGGGAACAAAAAGAAAACCAAAATTTTCTGGAGAGAAATGCACAAAAGAATACAACTGGAAGGTAGAGGACAATAAAGGCATTCCTTAAAATTCTCCGAAAATGATCTTCAACCTAGAATTCCACATCTAGAAAAACTGACAATCAAGTGTGAGGGTAGAATAAACCATTTTGCACTCAAAAATATACCTCCTACACATTCTCAGAAAACTATTCAAGGAATAGGAGAAAGGGAGAGTAAATCCAGAAAGAAAACATGGGCTCCAAGAAACGGAATAAAACCTTGGAGAGAAGCAAGAGCAAGTTTCAGAACAAGAGCTGTCATGCACCAAGAGTAGGAGAAGGCAGAGAGTATAAGAAGGAGAAAGGCAGTTTGGGAAAAAAGGAATCGATAGATTATTTGTTGTGTTTTGAGTGACTGGAAAAAATATCATTGGGCATTTGACAGAGCTGTTGAAGTCTTTGGGGGAAAAAGTAATAGTAGTTACACGGAAAACCAAACAAATGAAAACAATGGTGGCAATTCTTAACTCCAGGAATAAACAAAAATTTGAACAAAAAAGGAAAAGTTATCATAGTGACATTATTTGACTTAATAGTGGACAATTTTTATGTACTTGTAAGACGGTATGACTATAAATTGAAACTTGTGTTAGAGTTCTATTGCTACATCCTAAATGATCACAAATTTAGTGCCTTAAAACGATATCCACTTACTGTTTTACAGTTCTGTAAGTCAGAAGTCTGACAGTCTCTGCTTATCTCACAAGGCTGAAATCAAGGTGTCTGGGCTGGGGTCTTATCTGGAGACTCTAGAGAAGAATCCAACCTCAGGTTCATTCAGGTAATTGGCAGAATTCAGTTTCTTGTGGTGAAAGAACTGATGCCTTGCTGTCAGCTGGGATACTCTCAGCTCCTAAATGCTACCCATATTTCCTGGCATGCAGCCCCACTCCATCTTCAAAGCCAGCAATGATGTGTCAAATCCAGCACATGCTTCCAATCTCTGAATTCCGTTTTTTTTTCATTATTGTTGCTGCTAGCTGGAAAAGACACTCTACTTTTAAAAGGCTTGTGTGATTAGATTAGACCCATTCAGATAATCTCCTTTTTTCCATATAAAGTAACAATCACCAGAGTGTTATCCATCATATTCAGAGGTTCCACCCACACTCAAAGGGGATGAGATTATATAAGGGGAGGGTTCACTGAGGGTCATTCTCAGAATTTTGCTAACCACAAACCTAAAACTGTGATACGAACTAGGGAGACGGGAAGCACGGGCTGTAGTATAAGAAAGCGAAATTCTCAACTGTCATAACAGGAAGGCAATATATAATAACCCCAAGTGGAACAAGAGAAGTTTGTAGGTTAGGCCAAGTGTGTTTCTCTGAGAGAGGGCGAAGGGCTCTTTATTTGGAGACAATAGCATCCCCATTGCAAGTGCTGGGACCCAGCTGGGTGGGGACAAGCAGAGGAGGGCTGGTGTAGGGCTGTTAAGGGATTTCTAGGGTCCACCAGTGGGACTCTTTGTACAAATCTTACCTGAAAGCTGAACATGTGCAACAGAGCTTCTTTGATGGAATTAGAAAGAAAACAGGGAGTGCCCAGTGGAGGCCTAGGCAAGATCAGTCCTTCTCAATCTTAACTTCGTGCTTTATACTTTCCCAGTTATCCCCTCCCCTTACCTATCACTTATTCATTTATTCATTCACACCTTACAAATATATTTATTAAACCTCTACTATGAGGTACTGCTAAGCATTGTAGATACAATACAGATCTGATATCTACTCACTGCTAACTAAAAAGCCTCCAATGGCTGTTTACAAAGTTCAAGGGTTAGCATGCCTAACAGTATCCTCAATTATCTAGAACCTGCCTAGATTCCATGGCCTGCTTCCCAGGTCCTGTCTTCTTTACCCTTTATTTGTACCCAAGTTCTTGGAGTTCACTTAATATGGCTCTTCCTCTCAATTCCGTTCCTTTGTCTGTGCTATATTCCCTTCTCATCCACTTGATCAACTGCAATCATCCATTAATGCTCAGTTCTGGAAGCATTTCCTGTGTGCAGTCTTCTCTAAAGGAGTCCCCTATTCTCATTTCAAATCTAATAGTGTTAGGTACTTTCTCTTTTGTGTTTCCACAGCATTCCACATTTAACTGAATCGTACACCACACAGCAAATTTTTGTTTCCATGCTTATCTTCATCCAGTCGTCAGCCACTTTATGGCAGAGAGAGGTCTTATCCAATCCATCTTTGTATCCCTGGTCACCAACATAAAACCTTACACATAGTTGGTGCTTAATAGATGTTGACTAAATGAGCAAATGAATAAGAATAATTTATTCAGTTGAACAAACTGGGTATCCTAATGAGCATATTAAATGACAGGAGAGGGAGGCTAAATGGATACTTTCTCTACTCTAATTTTAACTAGTATAACTGTTAATCTTGGGGGATAAAACTCTAATCCAAGGTAGGAAAAGAAATGGCTAAGAAGTGGCCCCTCTAACCCTTTATTCTATATTTCCCTTACTTGTTTCTTCAGTTATGTCCCTCTTCTTGTTCCGAATGGAATTTTGATATCCCAGTAGATATAAGTTGAAGAAGGCCATCTCACGTCCTCCCTGTCCTCTTCTGGAATGAACAGGCTGGAGCACTGGACTCTGTTTGGTAACCATGGTAATGTCCTGAAGAACTGCTATGACTGACACTCCCTTTGTCTGAGGAGGCACAGGATTTATGGGTCACAGAGGAGCTGGAGTGGGAGTGGGGCTAAATAACTTCAGAAAAAAATGGAGGAGCCACGTGCCAGTTACTCTTTTTCTTTCCTCAGTCCTATTTATACTGTAAGCTTCAGAAGGCAATTTGTACAAAGAGCACTTGATCTGGGCCCAAATCTTAGTTTTGTCATATTCTAGGTGTCTGACTTTGAATTGATCATGCTTCAGTTTTTTAATTAGAAACAAGAGGTTATGATATCTATTGCATAGAGCTATGAGAATTAAATACTGTATGCAATTTTCCTCAGTATAGTGTCCTGCATATAATGGAACCTTAACAAACAGTATTTGAATCTGAATACGGTACTTCCAAAGAATCCTTAAGTTATTTCAAACAATGTGTGCTGAGCCAGTTCATACTGACTTTTGAGAACTACTTGCTAAATTTTCAGGAATTCTGCAAGCTGGTTGTTAAGCCATTATTATTATTATTACAGGTAATTTACAGATTGTCTAATCTTAATAAATTAAAATGGAATAAATTAGATTAAAATATAGTGAATATTAAAAACTCATCTCTTCCTAATTACTACATTTTACTATTATCTATGCTTATGAGGTTATTTAAATCTATGTATCTAGATGTTCTGTTGTTTTCATTCTTTTTCCTCTTTGCTTTTCTGTTTGGGAAGTTTCTATTGACATATCTTCAAATTGATTCTTTCCTTGGTCATTTCCAGTGTACTGATAAGCCATTCTTCATTTCTGTTAGTCTTTTTGATTTCTAGCCTTTCCTTTTCTTAGTTTTCATCTCTCTGCTTATGTTTTTCATTTATTCTTATGTATTGTCCACTTTTTCCATTAGAGTCCTTAGCATATTAATCATAGTTATTTTAAATTCCCAGTTCTAATGCTTGCTTTGTCTCTTTATCTTTTGCCTTTTAGCATGCCTTGTAATTTTTTTGTAGAACGTCAGATATGATATATTGGGTAAAATGAACTAAGGTTTTATGTTTATCTAGCTGGGAGTTAGTCTATTTCCTGATTGCTATAGTTGTGGGTGTCAGAGGCCAAAATTTCCCCTGATGTCCTTGTCTTTTTCTCCTCTGTTGTCTCTGGGTATCCCTAGAGACACTTTCTTAAATAGGGTCTCAGTTTGTAGTTCTTTCAGTTGTAACCACAGGTTATTATATAGCAGCCCTACTGATGTGTTGGGGGAGAGGAAGTGTTCTGTAATTCTACTAAGTCTCAGTCTTTTAGTGAGCCTGTGTCCCTGGACTGTGACTGTCACAGACGCTTCTTGTCTTTTTTTTCCCCCTTAGATGAAACAGGAAGGCTACAGGAAGCTGGAGTTGGTCATTTTCCTTCTCCCACATTGGTTAGGCTCTGTTAAATAGTTTCCCTTGAGGGCAGGGCTTTGAACTGAATGCTCTGGTGCATTTCAAAATGGCTACTTTCCCCCTCTCCTTGCTAACAGAGGGAATTTTTCTCCAGTCTTCATAGTAAGACCTGTGGGGCTCCTAGAAGTAAAACTCATGAAAATGTGGGGGACCCCTTAAGCTGGGCCCACAGGAGTTTTAAAAATATCTATCTAATTCATATTCAGTCTCCAGCAATTAGTCAACTGCTCTTTAAATACTCCTATCAGTTGCTGGTTCCAGGAGTAGTTTTTGCTCCTAGTAAGCCATGATTCTCTGTTCTGCCTGTTCTGATTTTGCCTGTCTTGCTAGTTTTTGTGCTAGAGGTTTGCCCTGTCATCTCAATTCTCTGATGGATCTAAGAAGGGTTATTGATTTTCATTTTGTTCAGCTTTTTTGTTGTTGTGAGAACAGGACTGATGACTTCCAAGCTCTTTACTTGTCAGACTGGAAACCAGAAGTTCATGTCTATTGTATTTGCACAGGAGAAATACTATGTGATGGTGTGTTCATCTCTCCCCAATTTCATGATCATTGATGTCACACTAGTGGTGTGAAATTGGCCATGATGGGAAAATTTAAACTACAGTAACTGGCAAACACTACAAAGCCTTAATTTATTTGTTTTGTTGACTGTCAAGACTTAAGAAAGTGATTAAGAAAATGTTAATAATGTAAATTAAGTTTAAAAGTGTATCATATCTGTAGCTATTACACTGTCAAAAGCACAAAAAAATTGAAATATTTCCAGTATTAAAAAACTATTATCCAGTTTAGCAAAGATGTTGCTCAAGTCACTGACAAGTGACGTTCCAACATAAGTCTCATTATTTCGCTTTCATCTTATTAATGAAATGAAAATGTCAACCAGCAGTCAAAGCTATGCGGGCATCTCTCATTTTATTGCACTTTGCTTTCTTGTGCTATGTAGATATTGTGTTTTTCACAAATTGAAGGTTTGTGACAACCCTGCACTGAGCAAGCATATTGGCGCCATTTTCCCAATAGCATTTGCTCACTTTGTGTTTCTGTGTCACATTTTGGAGATTCTCACAATATTTCTAACTTTTTCACTATTACTATGTTATAGTGATCTGTGATCAGTGATCTTTGATGCTAGGCAATTATTGCAAAAAGATTACAACTCACTGAAGGCTAAGATGGTGTTTAGCATTTTTAAGTAACAAACCATTTTTAATTAAGGTATGTATATTGTTTTTTAGATATAAAGCTATTGCATACTTAATAGACTACAGTAAACATAACTTTTATATGCACCGGGAAGCCAAGATATTCATGTGACTTACTTTATTGCAATATTCACTTTATTGTGGTAGTCTGGAACTGAACCTACAGTTATCTCTGAGGCACCTGTACTTGTTTGTCAAATGCCATCATAGGTTAGTTCTTGATTCGAGTCTGGCAAAATTCAATGAATATATTCTGTGAGAATCAGTTGGCTGTAAAAATTTACAATAAAGGAAATTGTCTAGTTTTTATAAATTGTGTGCTACACATCCTTTATATCAGTAAATTTTACCATAAATGTACATAAATATACACATCAATGATAGTTGGGATAGTTATGAACAGCACATCATCTTTTCGTATTTTAATTTGGAGATTATGTGAATCTTCTGGAGAAATTGTTTTAAAAATGGTAAATGGTAATAATGTGTGATATAACTGAAATATGACATTCATAAGCATGACGCAAAATAAGATCAAACCATGATGTAGTATAATCCTGTACCCAGAATTAGTAGCCTTATAGATGTGATTTACAGGAAACAAAGTCCTATTTAAATTAAAAAAAAAAAAGGAGGAAAATTCCTCTGGCTTAAGATTTTGTCAGTTGTTCTTTAAGGGCAGTGTATCTGAAGACTACCATTATTTTGACAATGAGCATGTATTGAACACCTACCATGTGCCAGATGGTGTTCTGTCAGGATGACATTTAAGATCACATAGCTAGTTAAAAGAATAACTGGGAATTTTTAGGACATTATACTAAGTGAAATAATCCAGTCACAGAAAGACAAATACTGTATGATTCCATTTATATGAATATCTAAAGTAGTCAAACTCAAAGAAACAGAAAGTAGAATAGGAGTTGTCAGGACTGGGGGGAAGGAGAAATGGGGAGTTGTTCAGTGGGTATAGAGCTTCAGTCTGCAAAAAGAAAAAGCTGTAGATACCTATTACATAACAATGTAGATATAGCTGATACAAATGAACTGTACACTTAGAAATGGTTAAGATAGTTAAAAAAAAGAATAGTTGGGGAGGGTATATAGCTCAGTAGTAGAGTGTGCACTTGGCATGCATGAGGTCCTAGGTTCAATCTCCAGTACCTCTGTTAAAAAAATAAAAATAAGTAAACCTAATTACCCTCCAACACCCACCA